TGTGCAAGTGGTGTTGTGAATTATCTCAGTGACGGCATATATCACGTGATCATCAAGTTTGATTATTTGGTAGTAGTATTGAAGGTTATAAAAATTGTTCATTCAATTGTGTGACTGATCATTATCAGATTATTCGTTTATACAACCGAATATGGTAGAAACACATCTCCCGAGTCGTTCTGGCAAAACTATTATATTGATATATCACACTTGGCGTCAGAAACATATCATGTTTGACAGAATGACAGCGCGAGAAAATGAAGATTAAAATCCCAGGCCGAATACGCGCACCATCCATCATTCTTTACTATAGGAACAAAATCTTTTTATTCAGGAGTAAAAACACATGCGAGCCTTTTGCTTCAGACAGCAAATTTGATGGACAAAATTCTCAGAAGTACCAAGATATTAACGATGAATTTTAAATGGCATATGGATCTATTTGATTATCCTTTCTTGGAATTTGTATAGCATTCAATAGATCTTACTGATTGAATAAACATCGAACTGGCACAAGGTAGGGTCCCTTGATGGAAATAATTGACGTTAAAGTCATCTTAACAGGGTACGGACAGATCCTCGTCTCCTCTCCCACTCTAAAGTGTTTGTGAAACAGTCATGTAGTTCCATCCTTATTCAATTCTGGGGCTAAACCAAAACACTAGATTTCTGACATTCGTGTTTTTCTAGGTTATATTGAGGTCACTGGCGTATCATACGTAATTTCCATATGGAATTCCTGATTCAACTATACCAAGATATAGATAAACAATCCTCTAGTTTTAGAGTTTACTACTCCAGCATAGAGTCACTGGATGTTATTAGTTTGATAAGAGTTCGGACTCAAAAATGACAACGGTCAGGGTTTTTGAATGTTTAGATTTGTTCAAGAATACTAATGAATAGTCTCCAAAACAATACTTTTTAACTGCAAACCACACCTTATCAACTATGAAGCCTAATTTTTATAACTGCTGTTCTGCAAAAGGTGCCTTGCTTGAATTGAAGGGTGTCTATACCCTATTTCCATTTTTCATCAACGGCTTATGATTGATTTGACAGGAAATCCAACATATAAAATCGTATCTGACAATCAGGTCCTACTAGGAAAATCGAAAAGACAAAGAGCAGAATATATGGCTTATTAATTCTTTATCAAACTATTTCAATATAGAAAATAGAAAAGGACACAAGTTCAGCTGTGTCCGACCTCTTATCTACTAATACCATCCAGTGACTCTAGTCCGCGCGGAGAGTTAGTTGACAACAACTGTAATTTGCTATTGTCAGATTAATTATTCACGAAATCCGATAGACGTCGACGAAATAATGTAATATGCACCTCCACAGCCGTCTTCAATATCTGAAGACGGCTGTGGCACCTCGGTGAAAAACTGTCTATTGTCTCGCCTCGCCTGATTGCTAGCCGCGGATATCAATTTGCAGACTCGACTATAATATACAGTTTTTCGTCATTGGTACATAAATAACTAATTTACTCTATCTGATCGCAGAAGTTCTTTATAATATCCTCAAAATATTTTTTTTTTGTATTTGGAGGCTTGCAAAAATAACATGTTGTCCGCCACTGGATCTGTGTGAACTGGCAGACGCTGGCGGCCAAAATTTCCGAAGTTACCCGAAGGACCAGTGGCGCACCAGATATTTTTTTCAGGGTGTGAACTTGGCAGACCATTGGCAGCTGAATTTCCAAAGAACTCGAATGAACAGTGGCTGACCTCGAAAATATTCTTCTGTCTGTAAAATTATTGCAATAAGATATTATGATTCCTATTCACATAACAATTATTACAGTTATTGTGGAATAAACATAGATATATATGAACACCTAGTATTCACCTGATATTTTCTCCTTGACAAAAGTATATTAAGAAAAATAATATATATATATTCTTAGAGGGCTCATTGGCCCCAGGACTGCCGCTATCAAACATGATGGAAACGCATTAATTCCTTCTAAAGAATATGATTTCTACCAGGAATAATCACTATACATACCTATGCCTGCTGAGTATTTTTTTTTCGATGCAGCACGCTCAACTACAAAATTAATTTCTGAGGCTCAGCACAAGACTGCCGCGATCAAACATGATAGAAACGCTTTATTTTCATCCAAAGATTGATACCTACCAGGAATAATCACTACCTCTGCCTGCTGAGTACTTTTTTTTTCGATGCACCACCCTCAACTTTAAAATTCATTTCTGAGGCTCTGCACAGGACTGCCGCGTTCAAACATGATAGAAAGGCTTTATTTTCATCCAAAGAATGATACCTACCAGGAATAATCACTACCTCTGCCTGCTGAGTATTTTTTTTTTCGATGCACCGCCCTCGAACTTCAAAATTCATTTCTGAGGCTCTGCACAGGACTGCCGCGATCAAACATGAAAGAAAGTATTTTTTTTATCCGAAGAATGATACCTATTACCTACCAGGAATAATTACTACCTCTGCCTGCTGAGTATTTTTTTTTTCGATGTACCACCCTCAACTTTTAAAATTCATTTCTGAGGCTCTGCACAGAACTGCCGCGATCAAACATGATAGGAAGGCTTTATTTTCATCCAAAGCATGATACCTACTAGGAATAATTACTACCTCTGCCCTCTGCCTGCTGAGTATTTTTTTTTCGATGCACCACCCTCGAACTTCAAATCTCATTTCTGAGGCTCTGCACAGGACTGCCACGATCAAACATGATAGAAAGGCTTTTTTTCATCCAAAGTATGAGACCTACCAGGAATAATCACTACCTCTGCCTGCTGAGTATTTTTTTTTCGATGCACCACCCTCAACTTTTAAAATTCATTTCTGAGGCTCTGCACAGAACTGCCGCGATCAAACATAATAAAAAGGCTTTATTTCCATCCAAAGCATGATACCTACTAGGAATAATTACTACCTCTGCCTGCTGAGTATTTTTTTTTCGATGCACCACCCTCGAACTTCAAATCTCATTTATTCACAGGACTGCCATGATCAAACATGATAAAAAGGCTTTATTTTCATCCAAAGTATGAGACCTACCAGGAATAATCACTACCTCTGCCTGCTGAGTATTTTTTTTTCGATTCACCACCCTCGAACTTCAAAATTCATTTCTGAGGCTCTGCACAGGACTGCCGTGATCAAACATGATAGAAAGGCTTAATTTTCATCCAAAGAATGATACCTACCAGGAATAATTACTACCTCTGCCTGCTGAGTATTTTTTTTTTCGATGCACTACCCTCAAATTTAAAATTCATTTCTGAGGCTCTGCACAGGACTGCCGCGATCAAACATGATAGAAAGGCTTTATTCTCATCCGAAGAATGAAGCGTTTATATCATGTTTGATCGCGACAGTCCTGTGCTGAGCCTCAGAAATTAATTTTGTAGTTGAGCGTGCTGCATCGAAAAAAAAATACTCAGCAGGCAGAGGTATATATAGTGATTATTCCTGGTAGAAATCATATTCTTTAGAAGGAATTAATGCGTTTCCATCATGTTTGATAGCGGCAGTCCTGTGCAGAGCCTCAGAAATGAGTTTTGAAGTTCGAGCAGGGTGGTGCATCGAAAAAAAAAAATACTCAGCAGGCAGAGGTAGTGATTATTCCTGGTAGGTATCATTCTTTGGATGAGAATAAGGCTTTTTTATCATGTTTGATCGCGGCAGTCCTGTGCAGAGCCTCAGAAAAGAATTTTGAAGTTCGAGGGTGGTGCATCGAAAAAAAATACCCAGCAGGCAGAGGTAGTGATTATTCCTGGTAGGTATCATTCTTTCGATGGAAATGAAGCCTTTCTATCATGTTTGATCGCGGCAGTCCTGTGCAGAGTCTCAGAAATGAGTTTTGAAGTTCGAGGGTGGTGCATCGAAAAAAAAAATACTCAGCAGGCAGAGGTAGTAATTATTCTTGATAGGTATCATTCTTTGGATGAAAATGAAGCCTCTCTATCATGTTCGATCGCGGCAGTCCTGTGCAGAGCCTCAGAAATGAATTTTAAAGTTGAGGGTGGTGCATCGAAAAAAAAAAAAAATACTCAGCAGGCAGAGGTAGTAATTATTCCTGGTAGGTATCATTCTTTGGATGAGAATAGAGACTTTCTATCATGTTTGATCGCGGCAGTCCTGTGCAGAGCCTCAGAAATGAATTTTGAAGTTCGAGGCGGTGATGCATCGAAAAAAAAAATACTCAGCAGGCAGAGGTAGTGATTATTCCTGGTAGGTATCATTCTTCGGATGAAAATAAAGCCTTTCTATCATGTTTGATCGCGGCAGTCCTGTGCAGAGCCTCAGAAATGAATTTGAAAGTTGAGGGTGGTGCATCGAAAAAAAAAGTCCTCAGCAGGCAGAGGTAGTGATTATTCCTGGTAGGTATCATTCTTTGGATGAAAATAAAGCGTTTCTATCATGATTGATCGCGACAGTCCTGTGCTGAGCCTCAGAAATTAATTTTGTAGTTGAGCGTGCTGCATCGAAAAAAATACTCAGCAGGCAGAGGTATATATAGTGATTATTCCTGGTAGAAATCATATTCTTTAGAAGGAATTAATGCGTTTCCATCATGTTTGATAGCGGCAGTCCTAAATGTCCTTGGGCCAATGAGCCCTCTAAGAATATATATATTATTTTTCTTAATTAATAATATGCGTTGTGTTACACCACCACATACTTTTGTCAAGGAGAAAATATTGGGTAAATACTAGGTGTTCATATATCTATGTTTATTCCACAATAACTGTAATAATTGTTATGTGAATAGGAATCATAATATCTTATTGCAATAATTTTACAGACAGAAAAATATTTTCGAGGTCAGCCACTGTTCATCCGAGATCTTTGGAAATTCAGCTGCCAATGGTCTGCCAAGTTCACACCTTGAAAAAAATATCTGGTACGCCACTGGTCCTTCGGGTAACTTCGGAAATTTTGGCCGCCGGCCTGGTCTGCCAGTCTCACACCTGTATGTTTGGCTGCCAATGCTGCCATCAGCTGTCATTTTTACACAGCTAAGAAGGGTTATGTTTTTGTTTATAATGTTATGAATTAATTTTGGATAAATTTGTTTTTTCCTTATCATGTGATAGGCCAATAGTTGCTGATTAGATTTAGATTTCAATCTTTTTCGTTCCAGAGATCTTGAAATTGATAGCAATTTAATTTGTGCCTAAAAGTCTGAAGTTGTTCTACTACCATCCTGATACCACTAATGGCTATATCATAATATCTACCTGATTCACTTGAATATCTCAAGAATTATACAATTTGTGACTTTGGAGACGGCCTGTGTTGATAGATAATATATTGAGTACACATAACACTAGTTTACTCTGAATATAATTCAATTTGCTGTTCAAATTAGTTCTTTTGTATTGTGTGTTTGCAATCTTATTAGTCCCATTCATACAAATACAATAATGTGATAAGACAGGTTATAAGGATATATAAATTGTGTTCTACAGACTTCTGCATAATAGTGTGAGGTGACTACAAATAACTTTTAAATTAAGTGATGAAATTTGCAGAACATTTATCTGCTCACATCACACCAGAATGGAGGAAACAATACATAAATTACGAGGTGAGTATTTTATATGTTTTCCTTTCAGCTCTTGATTCATGGTATTTTTTCCAACAAAGGCCATGGTTAGAGTTAAAGTTCCACACCTTGCAGAACATTAATAGTTTTCACTAAAGGTTCACATGGCCAACACTTATGCAAAAAAGAATAGAAATTTTCAAGAAGAAAATAGGGAATGGTAAACAGGAAATTCTATGTGTGAATTATCTGATATATTAAAAGGGAATAATAATCAGTGTTGCCACCTGCTGAACATGATATGTCGCCAAAAATTAGGAAAAAAAAAAACTAGAAGTCACCTAAGCCAGTGAAGCAGCAGGAAGCCTGCAGCAGGCAAAATTTTTGGAAATTTAGTGACTTGGTGAAATAGTGACATTCTTGATCATATTTCATCATTTTCAGCTAGTTTATAATATCAGATAAAAAATCATAGAAAACTTTATTTATCCAGAATATGTTCAGAATGAAGAAAACAGAACAAAATGAATATAGGTGAATTTTCCTATACAATTTCATTCCCTACTATTGAATAGGCACATTGGCAAATCACAACATACATTTCTCTATCCTATTTAGGTTTGTCCTTGATCTTATCACACCTTCATAAACCTGTCAAACCATAACCATGTTATCAACTCATATTTCTAGTTCAACATCATACAGATCTGCGACTTCATTGCAAATAAAATATTCACAAGCATCCCAAGTTTTTAAACCATATGGAATATACAAAATATCATTGAAAAGTGGTGGAAGTGGTGCAAATGATGAAAACTAACCCTGTCGTCTGTCATTCTCTTCACCAATTTATATGATCAAAATATCTCCATATTAACCACTATGACTATGTTGAAAATGCTTAAATTGGTACAGGTACCTGAGTAGGTGTCTACCTGAAAAAACTTGTGGGTGGGTGGTAAAGAGATAATTCAGAAAATGATAGTTGTATTTGTTATTATTTTTTTATATATGTATTTTCTGTAATGGGTTTTCCCGTAAATGAATAAAATAAAATAGTATATATATATATTTCATAAGTTCGCTGCTTCCTAGTAGGAGCCGCTCATGTCAAGGGAATGCAAAAATCCTGATTTTCCAGTCATATCTTGCAAACGACTTACCAGACAAAAAAAATATCACAGTATTCATTGTTGAAGAGCTGCGTGGAATGATGTTTCTATCTTCCTCATTCCCAAATTTATGGGGTTGCTTTCATCATTTGATGAATTTCAAAGTTTACCAACTTTTGTGGTAACTTTAATATTCTCACTTTTAGATGACTGTGCTTTGAAAATAGCTATTCTTCATTCAAAAATCGCCCAATATTCATGTGAGAAAATGTCTAATAATAAGGACAAAAGTGCTGGAATTGTCTGCAGATACGCAGTATAGTATATAAGCAGCACACTAGAATAGGATATTTAGTTTTAATCTTCTCCTGAAGATGCCAAAATAGTTAGCAAAACATGTGTCGAGGTGTTAAAAAAATCACTTTGGTTAGTGGTAAAACGGTGTAGTGTATTATCGTGCCAAAGGTTCCAGTCATCCATATATAAATGCTGATGTGATCTGATTGTTCAGACCACTGAATCATCAGCTTCAAATAATCAAACTGTTGTGATTTTGGGAAGATATAGATCTGATGGTAATTATGATGGGCCTCAACACTCCAAACGTATATTTGCTGAAGCAAGGGAAGGTGAAAACTGAAGAAGCCTCAGTTTCGGTACCAACTACAGTCTGCAGTGGAATAAAATCTTGCCAAACATATGATGTTTCTGCACACTATGAGTGGATGTGACTTCACTTCATCTATTCACAACCACGGCAAGACTGAATTATTGAGAACTCTCTCAGAACATCTAAAGCATTAGGACATTCTTGGATCAGTCAGCCATTGACAATTGCTGCTGGAGAAAAATTGTTGATTGCCCTGTATGGGGCTAGCCATTTAACAACCAGCTTGCTACAATACAAGTTCTTCAGCAACATTGCATCCACTCCTTCCACCGATGCTGCAGCTTACAGGCATAGCTTGCATGTTTATCTTCAAGTGCAGCAGTGGCTTTGTCTCTCATACTAAAGAAGCTAGTAAAGCCACTTAAGAATTTCAACATGAAATACATCTCAGAAATTTAGGCTAAGAATTTCAACATGAAACACATCTCATAATTTCAGGCTCATTTGAGGATAATTTATTACCCCATTCCCGAAATTTTTCCTCTTCTCTATCATAGAAAAACTTGTGACTTTGTTAGCTTTAGCCGAACTGAGCATAGCCAATTTTGAAAAGCAATATTGCTTATTGGTGCTTATGTTAGGCTAATTTTTAACATTGATTTTTCACCGAATTGATATATTATTGAGATTGAATGGCGTATTTTAGTGTAATTTATCACCCTAGTTTCGAATTTTTTGCTCCACGTTGAAAACAGAAAAAAAAAAACGAGACGATTTGTCTAAATACACATTCTTCACCCATTATGCATTTCTATCTAAAGCATTTAATGAAAATTTTATAACGCAAAGTATTGATTGTAAGCTCAATAACTATCCCATTTTGGAATTTTTTGGCTGCATCTGGCTTTGCTAGCTTCGGGCTAAATCATCAGAGATATTTTTAAAAAGATTATATTTTTCTACCAGATTTTTTGACGATTATATTAGTTTTGATTATAGGCTCAAGTACTAACCCATCTAGAAATTCTTTGCTGCATATTTTCTAAAAGAAACCTGTGCCTTTGCTGGCTTCAGGCGAACTCAGCTAAACCATTTTTGAAAAGAATATATTCTTCACTGATGTGATATATCGATATTGAAAATCTAATTTTAGGCTAATTAATTACTCTTTTTTCGATTTTTTTGCTCAACGTTTCAAACAAAAAAAGTCGGAACGATCCATCAAAATGCGCATTATGTACTATACATTATGCATTTCTATCAAACGCATATTTTATGATGATTTTATAAGGCAGAGTGTGCTTTTGATACAAATACATAGTGTATTTATAGTGAATAACGCGTATTTCGAAAAAATCGTTTCTTCTTTTTTGTTTGAAATATTGAGCAAAAATTCTAGAGTAGTGTTAGTGATTAGCCTAAAATTAGCTATTCAATCACAATATATTAAATCAGTGAAAAATATATTCTTTTCAAAAATGGCACTGATGACTTTGCTCGAAGCTAGAAAAGCCACATGTTTCTTTTAAAAAATATGCAGCAAAAAATTCCACAATGGGACAGTTATTGAGCATACAATCAATACAAACACTTTGCCTTCATAAAATTTGCTTTTGAATAAAATGAATAATGTTTAGTGAAAAACGCGTATTTCGACGAATCGTTTTGTTTATGTTTGAAAAGTTGAGCAGAAAATTTTAAAATAGGTTTGCAGGTTCTAATGTACTTCCGAATTCTATTTCATTAAATAAAACTGCATGCTAAATATTTTATGACAATTCCTTTTTATTATCAAACAACTGAAAAAGTAATCCTCTGCTTGATATAAATTTTCAAATATATAGCAGGTGATCGCTACAGTACTTCCCCTCTCAAAAAAAAAATATATATATATCATTCGGGAGCGAAACGAACTGTTGATTGACATTTCTTCCAGATCTTGTTTTCTGGCTTGTAGTGGAGGGTTTGGATAAATCTTGACTAGATGATGGTACACTGAGTATCCAGACGAACAAAAACATGTGTAGTTGTAGTTGTAGACGAACACTAGATGATTATCATGACGTGATCTGTTTTGCTGAGCATGGTGTTAAAAATTCTCCAGGGAGTCGAATGGGTTCTTCATACACCATATCTGATATTGAAATACCTAGATCTCCTTTGAAAACATCTAGCATACCCATTATTATTGAGGGAATCATCTCAACCCAGTCCTCGGTTTGGTGGCAACGGATTGCAGATTTCAGGTGTATATGCAAACGTTCCACCACCCCGTTAGCTTGAGGATGGGAAGCTGTGGTTCGTATGATATGAATACCATATGTTCTGGCTAGAGCTCTGAAAGGATCACTCTCAAACTGGCGACCTTGATCCGATGTAATGCGCAATGGTACGCCATATTTGGAAATCCATGAAGAAAACAAAGCTTTGGCGACTGTTTCAGCTGTGATATCATAGACAGGACATGCCTCAGCTAGGCGTGAGAATCTGTCAATAATAGGCAAACAGTAACGGTAACCATTCGAGGAGGGCGTTGGGCCAACCAAATCAATGTGTATATGTTCAAATTCTGTACTGGGTGTTCTAAACTTGCCTATCGGTGTAATGACATGACGGGATACTTTTGAGCGTTGGCAAGGAATACAATGTTTAGCCCATTGTCTGAAGTCTTTCGCAATCGACGACCATACATAACGTTCCTTGATTAGTCTAATTGAGGCGCGGATATCTGGTTGAGACAGTCCATGGATAAGGTAAAAAATCTTCTTGCGGAATGGTGCTGTCACAAAAGGTCTAGAAGATGTGCTGTATATATCTCAGAATAATGTTGCCTCTGTACCTGGAATTCGAATTTTCTACAGATTCAATGATGTACCTTCCTCTAGCAGTGATAATAGGTCTGCATCGCTGTTTTGGGAATTTGCAAGTGCTGCTAAATCGAAGGGTTATTCAAAAGCTTTTGCACAAGATGAAGTGTCTGTCACAACATTTTCTCTGCCTGAGATATGTCGAATATATGTACACAACTGTCCGATAAAATCGAGAGAAAACGAAATTGCCTTGGGGATGCTTTTTCGGGTTTCTGCTTGAATGCATAGATTAGCGGTGGATATCACAAAATCTCGACACTACATTATGTTAAAAATACTTGACAGCTTCTTACTGAAGAATGCTAGCGGCTGCCATCATTATCTGTGAGCTGTTGAAGAACTGCTCCCATAGAGACTTCAGATGCATCAGTTACTAGTCCCAACATTGCTAAAGAGTCCGGGTGAGCCAACAGAGTAGCTTGCGCTTGACTTTCTTTGCATTTACAGGAA